GGGTTTTATTATGTATAATAACCATCATAATGGGAATTATTTATACATAACTGTGATAAAAGTGAAAAAGTTGTGAGGTGGCAACGAATGAAAAATGGCATTGGATGATTTCAAAATCTAATACAGTCTTCTCTTGATTATCGTCCGAAACTCGGGTCCGCTCCGAGATAATAATCTTATAGAAAGAAATACTTCAGATCTTCGTAAATTCGTTTTTTACCCGATGCCCGAGCCCCGGCAACAAAAGCGGAAAGGTAACAAAGTATGCGCTTGACGGGTTACACGCCTCCCTCCCTAGTGGTGGGGATAACGCTTAGACAATAATCGTGTAGAACAAGCCAGACGATAATCGAGGAGTTTGTATACACAAAAATGCAAGAAAATATTCCTTTGATAATTTTTCAATTATTTGGGAATGAAAATGGTTTAGATGCTGCGTGTACCACATTTGGTGCATGACGAACCTCATTTTCACAAAAAAAATTAACTTTTACTTAATGACTTTTTCCTAAAAATTGTTTACAATAACTGTTATTTTGGGTCTCTGAATTAAAAGATGTACATACTCAGCGCTACCGGGTTGAGAGATTTGGAAGGAAAATGGCGGATTATACTGTGATGATAATAGGGGAAAGTAAAGTAACGACGTCACAACTGTACCGTTAAGTGAGGCGCGCGACGCTTGGCTTGGAGTCTGCCTGGTTATAGGTTATGTTACGGTTGTCATTACTTTACTTTCCCCTACTATCATAATAATACCATCCGCTATTTTCCCTCGTTGGGGGATTTTGCTGGCAACGCTGAATCTACATACTTCCCCGTTTATAATCGATTCAACGTGGAAATTCCGATTTTGGACGAAATGATGATCCGAATGAGCAGACACCTGGCGAACAATCGTTTAATCTTATTAACTGTTCGGAGGTCTGGATGACAATCGTAGATATTATTATTTTTTCGTTATGTTAACATTCGAATAAGAATTGTCCCCGACTCTGAACTGCATACGACGCGAGTACGTACTTATGAGTCACCCTGTACTGATGCAGCCCAAGGTGTGGCCGCGCGACGCATTCTGCGGCGTAAACGTCGTCGCGAATTACATCGAGGCGTACGTCACGATCCCCCGCTTTTGCATTCTCCGTTGAACATGTAATAAGAATGGATGGTCTCACGCTCTTAAGGATTCGTATGTGTGTGTGAGTGTGTGTATGCACGCTACCCTGTTTTTCAATCCAGATCGCGTGTCGAGTCGCGGGATCGAGTCGCCACCGACGGTTATCGGGGGCGCTTAAGAGTTTATGCATCAAAGTCCCGAGCCATTTTTTATGGACCGCTTGTTGCTCGACGCTTGATATTGGTTGGGTCGTTGTGCTGGTTGGGTCGTTGTGCTGGTTGGGTCGTTGTATCGGTAGGTGTGGTTCTGGCGAGGATGAAAATATTTTTACTCACTGCTTTACTAATATCATTAATATGCAGGGTGTCCCAGCTAACTTGATCACAAAAAATAGGTCATTCCGTTAAAAAAAACTGAAGATGACCTTGAAATCTCTGAAATGCCACCACCCACAAAAAAGCACGTATCATATAAGATGTGCACCTTGGTGCCATTTAAGTTCTACGCCTCACAATTTTTATAAAGTGTACTGCTAACTTATTATTCGAGGTGAACAAGTTAGCTGAGACACCCTGTATACACTGCGTGGCATAACTATAAAACCATTCTACAATTTTCAATACTTATGTATTGTGATCAAAACAAAAACGAACGACTTTTTTCTAGGGAATATAAACTAACCTTTTATGGTGAAACATTGTTTCTCAACACGATTTCAGACACGGCATACTTGGTTCATTTTTATTCTAACCACGACCACAACACATAAGAACTGAAAATTTTAAGGTAGTTTTATAGTTATGCCAGGCAGTGTATTAATAAAACATAATCTAGTATACACCTGTCGTTTCTATTCTTCACGTTTTTATACATAACATGGTGTCTCAAAATGATGGGACGAGTTGCAACATACATATTCCTCGTACAAATACAAATCGAAAAGTCCTTCACCGTTTTGTAACCTGAAGCTCCATTTCCGAAATATTAACAGTTGAACGAACTCCAATCAGCTGAGCGGTTGACCACACGTGCACGCGATCCAGCTGACTGACCTCTACTTCTTGACTGCGTCTGCGCGTATGTGTGGCTGACCGCTCAGCTGAATGGAATTTGTTGAACTGCGAATATCTCGGAAATGAAGCTTCGGATTACAAAACGGTAAAGGACTTTTCAATTGGTATTTGCACGAGGAATGTGCACGTTGCGGCTTGTCCCGTCATTTTGGGGCACCCTGTATATCCCGAACCACCTAACCAACTAAGAATAGGAAATCAATGTTGGATCGATATACCATCCATAAGCTAGAAAGAAAATCCCTAAATCCGCTCATTCTTCCATCAATAAAAAAACAACTCCACAGTAAGATCATTGTGTCGCTTGGGTCGTGGTATTGGTATGGTGCACAAACCAATCTCGTTTCTCTTCAATTCGTCAAAACCTATTTAGTCAGCCATCTTTTGATTATATCGCTTCATATATGAGAGCAACTTCAATAATATTTTCCTAAAATTCATCGTTTATCATACCCTTGCAGCCTGCACGATTGACTTCTAATATATTCTCACTGAAAAGTCTGAACCTCGTTTCAAAAATGTAGGTGGTTTAGTGGAAGTTTCATAGTGTTATTATTCGATCAAAGCCACTCTTTACGATGTACTTCGGAGCAAATTGAAAGTAACAAGAGACTGACATTATTACTTTACCGTAGTTAGCAAATTACATTATCTATGCAAAAAGTTCTCCTATCTGGAACGTAGTACTTTGATAATCCAGGGAATCGAAGACGACAAGAGTCCCCTAAAGTTTGCACTCCTATAAAATGTTCCTGGAACAAAAAGTCTTAGAAAGTTGTTTTACGCCACACAATATTAATTTCGTTTAATCGGAGCGATGGAATGTGCAAGAGGGTAACTGGTGTTTCTGAATTGAAATCTCCGTTCTCAGACTTCTTTTTAGAAATACTTAACCTTCGTCAGTCTATTTTTTGGTACCTCTTAAGCTTGCAGTCGAGCCATGTGCTTCGTTTATTGGAACGATCTCAGTGACGAGACAAGTGACTGGTGAAACGTATCTGTATACAGGGTGTTAATAAAAACTGTTGTGGAACACTCACATGGGTGGATTCTACATGCAAAACTACCTAGATAGAAAATGACGCCTTGAAGACGCCTTAAAGGTGCCTTAGATCTAAAATAGCCATACAATGGGCGTCTTCAAGGCGTCATGTGCTATCTGGGTAACAATAGGGAACATTTCAGATTTTGTTTACACTTGGATATGTTGTACTCTTTAATGATACATAAACATGTATGGAAGGTTTTCTGAAAATTTTACAAATTGTTGATTTTGCAGCTGTTTGAAATATATTGTCAACGTTTTTCCAATAAATTCTAACTGATGAACTAACAATCCAATCAAAATGAGCTTTGTGAGTGCTTATAGTGGAGACATAAGTGCACTTAATAAAAATTATTTCATTTAAACAAAAATATTTTTTAACCATTTATTTTGCACTTGTTTGAAAGAAGTATAATGTTATAACAGCGGGACACTATTCAAAAATTTGAAAGAAAAAATTAAAACATAGACCTATTTGTTCTCTTTGCGAAGAAATTTTCAAAAATACAGACACTTTAAAATTGGCCATATGAAAATTAATCGAAGTTAACGTTGCGTGGAATCGCACACCCTCTATTTTTTTTACTATTCTATGAATCTTATTCAATTGTTTTTGCTGAAAACATTTTACACGCAAGATTGTTCCCCATGGCTGTCGTCGACACTAGATCTGCTCCTCCCTCTCTCTGTACGTGCTTAACGGGCCGTTAATACGTCATTAGCCGAGGCGAGATGACTGAATCAACGATACAGGGCCGGCTCCGCCGACCGATTACGCCTGGAATCTAATTCCCTTGTGTTACTTGTTCACTGGGGCCCTTCTCGCTTAATATCTCGCGTTATATCGGTCGGCTTCGCTCGAAACTTCGATAGATTGCTTGCTCCGGAGGTCCGTTAAAACGGCTCGGTGGAGGGGGGGGGGGATTGGGAAACCATGATTGCACGTTCACCTGTAGAGAAATCCGTTAATTGTTTCCTGATGCTGGCTGACGGAGCCGGATGTTCTGTAGACAGTTTCTTTTTCTTAAGTAAATAAATTACTAATATTTAAGGAAACAGGGTAATGGCGGTAAGTATTATTATTACTGCATTTTTATATTAATAATAGAAAAACTACAAATCGGTAGAGTTATCAGATAGCACACAGACAGCCTAATGACAGCTTAAAGACGCCTCAGACCTAAAATATCCGTAAAATGAGCGTCTTCAAGGTCTCATATGCTATCTGGGTTAGGTGGTTTCAGGTATAACCGACGGGCACGACACGTGTCCTGGTAAAATTAATTAATCCCTTAACTAAGGTAACCAGGTGTTTTAGGTTGCAATGAGGGACATGACCAAAAAAAGAAAGAGCCACCATTTTCTTAGTTTATTACGTCTACTGTTGTAGAAACATTTGTTGCCAGTTAATAGCGCCATCTAGTATGAAGCAGAAGAAATAATAACTTTGTGAGGCTGCAAGAATGTTAAAAAAGTTACGTAGCCATATATTAAAATTAGTTTATATTAAAAATTAGCGATACATTACATAGCCAATAAGCATACTCGTCATGATAAGATGACATGTTTTTTCATAATTTTATTCGAATTTTCTCAGGCCTGTGCCTTCGAGGAAAATCTTTAGTTCCTAAGTTTCTTTATTAACAGTAGCGTAATTGATTGTGTACCCGGTTATTGACGTGTAAGGGTTGAAAAGAAAATTCCCAAAAAATGCGGACGGATTCCAACGCGACGTTGAATTTTCACCGTGGTTTCTGCATTGCAGGCGGTGTCGGAGAGGCTCGAGTTGGCGCCAGCTGGAGGAAGATCAGAGCCGCAGGTGAGTACCACTCGAGAATGCACGCTTCCTTTTCCTCACGAATGTCATCGAGGCCCTCGCGTACTTCCGATTTTAACATCGCGACGAGATGGTGTGCTCTCTTGCCTACACGAGACGTCTGAAAATCACTTCCGCTCGGGACTCCGCACCCGCCCCCATCCAGAGAGGGATTATGGGGAGGGGGCTGCAGCCCTGCAAAATTTCATTCAATTATTTTCAAAATTTCGTTCAATTATTTACAAAACTTCATTCGATTAATTTCAAAATTTCATTCAATTATTTTCATAATTTCATTCTATTATGTTTCAAATTTCATTCAATTATTTTCAAAACTTCGTTCAATTATTTTCTAAATTTGATTTAATTATTTTCGAAATTACTTTCAATTATTTTTTTACATAAACCGAAGGCTTAGATTGCCCCCCGCCCCTCTAGAAAGTGAGGCCCAATCTAAGCCTTCCGTTTAAGTAAAAAAATATATAAAAAAATAATGGTTTTGCGAAGGTTGCCACGTTATGCGAGGTCGGAGAGGTGTATCTGGCGCAGCACATGGGCGAACAGGGTCGTTGGGTTTCTTCGACGGACAAGAAGAGCTGCATGACGGACAAGCTCGAGATCCTCGAATACTGCAAGAAGGTAAGTGACACTGACGATTTCCAGACCGTGTTAATTTAAAAAAAAAAAGAATAGATACGCGATTTAAGATAGCTTACGCGTTTGGTGCCGTGTTTAGTTGGGGCTCCATATTGCGCTGTATACTTTTTCTCAATTTTACCAATTTAATTTGCATGATTAATATTTTGAAGTGCTTCAAAATATTGAAATGGAAAAGAAATTTACAAATAAGTGGAAAAATCAATTTTTTCCTTATTGTAATAAAAATGTTATTTTTCTTGTAATTTTTAAGAAAAATTTGGAAAGTTCGTCGATCAAACCAAAGGAAAACAAGTGACGTTGATGGTCATCGCAGACATGCGTAGAAGATACTACCAAACGCATTAAAACCTAAGTTTGCATACTTAATTTCTAGTTTCATAATCATAATCACCGTAATAAATCGATAACCACCTAGTTTTTTTTTTTATGAATATGCCATTTTTTGTAAGTAAATAAGAAGTGATTAACTTTTCAGTATAAACTACACTTTCATAACGCTCGTATTAAGAAAACATTTTTATAACATTTCTTTTTCAATAATTGTATCGTTGACCTTGCGATCTTTTGGTAGAAATCGAAAGTTGAAGCTTTTAAAAATCTTCTGTTAAATTTTCAACTAAACTTATAATTATTATAAATTTGCGTGAACCACTTTAAGGTTAGTTTACACTGTTCGATCAGACAATTATTCTATAATTGCATTTGAATATATAGATGTTTACCTACTATACAGACCGATAAAAAAAAGAGTTCGTAACTTCCAGAGGTAGATAGTACTGGCCAAATGACGAAAAAAAAATTCGAAATAAACATGAGTCGAGGAATTGATATTTTGAAAGTTATAAACAATTTTTCGTTATGATTAAAACAACTGACTGAAATCGTGGATTACCTTATCATTTATGTTTTTCTTGGTTACAGAAGGTTTATTTCTTTTTTTATTCCAACAGATAATTCATTGTTTTTAATTCATTTAAAAATGGAAGAGTTTGTTTATTATTACAATCAATAATTGTAGTATATTCTTGTATTTCTTATATTAACATTATTTTTTATAATTTCTTGTATTTTTCTTATACAGGGTGGACCGATAACTTTGGCCACTTGAAATAATTGCCGTTACTTTTAGAAATAATAACTTTATTTGCAAAAGTTGCACAGTAATATCAGAGGAGGATAAGAATTAATTACAATAATAGGAGATTAACAATTTATTTCCGTGAATGGAGTGTTTTCAAGAGACTGCAATGTTGTCCTGTATTTTTTTCAAATAGCATGCCACACTTTTTTATTCCCCGAATAGAATTGCGAGTGTTTAGACGATGTCAACAATCCATTGTATTTACAAGGTTGTTCGATATTAAAAGTAATAGGACGACTCTTGCGTCATACGAGATGCTCGAAGTGGTGTCCGTCTCCATCGAGACGCAACATTGCGATTGACGGCTTGCTAAACGGCTCTTATGACGTGTGAATTGTTTCACACCTGTAACCCTTAATTACTGACATACCACACGCCACAGAGACAGGAATTTGAATTTTTCTTTTGCTAGCACACGTGTTTTTTTAAATTATTTGTTTAAATAATATATTTAAAAAAATTAAAAAAAATAACGTTTAGATGATTACATTCCCCATTAAAAAACACACAATTAACAAAAAATAATTTTTATCTATAACCTCTAGTTCCTGAGATATTCCAAAAAATATGTTTTAAATCCCCAACTTTGAGGGCTGTTTTCACCCCTTCAGTATGGACGATGGCCGATATAAAAAAATACGTGTCAAATATTTTTTCGGAAACTATATCCCATATAGAAGGCATCAAAATCAGCGTGTCTGGGTTCGAAATGTTTCCTTGTTAGTTGCGTTGCGTATTGCATTTCGGTCCAAGTATTTATTTTTTATAACATAAGATTTTACCAACTGACGAATGTTTTTTTTACATATTCTAATAATTTCTGGACGGTGCCGCGGTGGGGCCAGTCCGTATTCTAGGGGGGGGGGGAGAGGGGCAGGCCTACCCTTGACCCTACCTGATTACGCCAATGATGGTGATACGATACGATGACACGCAACGGTGATACGATACGAGGATACGCATCTTAAAATGTGTAAAAATTACGAATGTGTTTTCTTGTTTTACCGAAATTTTACTACAAATAACAAATGCAATTTTTTTGACAGAAATGCCATTTTTCACGACGAGTATACGTGACATAAACATCGAAAGGGTTAAGAACTACTGACCCAGGTTGAGCATAGGATGACACGCGCGCGCTGAGTCCGTAAAAACGTCTTAATTGGGTACGAACGTCGTCTCTGCGTCCACGGAGTTGCGCAACACACCCAGTAGAGCAAAGCGTGACGAGGAGAGTGAGAGCATAGCCCGTCGTAAAGATATAGCGTGGTCGTAGGTAGATTAACCCGTTCAGAGCGGCGACACCGATTTACAGCGGAACAGATGGGCATTCTACAATGTGTTTCTTTTAAGGTGGCTCACAACATTTTTTAATAATTATAAATTTTGTTGAAAATTTAACAGAAGATTCTTAAAAGCTTTAACTTTTGATTGCTACCAAAAAATCGTAAGGTCAACGATAAAATTATAGACCCTCATCTGTCCCTCGTGTCAATTTGACACATTTTTCTCCTAAGAAATTATGATATTCTGTCATGCGTAGATGAATTTACTTAGGACTTCATGATTTTTATTTTAGAGAATTTGCAAATTTAACTATTTATGCCTTCATTATGTTAATTTTTTATTACTGTGCCAACTTGATACTGAGGAACAAATTAAGTTGGAAAAATGAGGGACGGTTGAGGGTTAAAAGAAACGTTATAAAAATTTCATTTTAACACGAGCCGTATGGAATTGTAGTTGATACTGAGAAGTTAATTACTTCTTATTTAGCTACAAAAAATTATATATTCATAAAAAATTAGGTGGTTAATAATTCTTTCGGAGATTATAATGGTACGGAAAGAAAGATATGTTAACAATCAAATAGAAATAAAATTTAAGATCACAGTATGCAAACTTAGGTTTCAATGCGTTTGGTTGTATCTTCAACGCATGTCTGCTATGAGCGTCGACGTTGCTTGTTTTCCTTTGGTTTGCTCGACGAACTTTCCAATGTTTTCTTAAAAATTAAATAAGAATTAAATTTTGTTATAATAAAGAAATAAAATTTTTGATTTTTTTTTCACTTATTTGTAAATAATTTTTCCATTTAAGTATTTTGAAGTAATTTATAATATTAATCATTCAATATGGAAAATTTCATAATAATTAAATGTAGTAGTTAAAATATTACAGACTCGATTGTTGCCCCAGCGAAACTAACGAACAATGTTGCCAGATTTTTTATACGTTTTTCGTAACATGCAGTTATCTAAAATCGCCCAAAGTCGCAATAGTGCTGCAAAAAAATTTTTGAAGGTACTGTTAACAAGGGATTTTTATATTAAAGTATTTTTTTTAGTACAATATATTTAAAAAGTAGACGTATATAATGCATTGTAAATATAAAAAAATATATATGCGACTTGCGATTTCTTCGAAAAATTCATCATAATTTTAGTGCAGAAGTTGCCGAAACTACGATAAATCGTCCAATCTGGCAACGCTGGATATAAACGCGTGAAACAGTTGAAGAACCAGTCTCTCAAGTAGAAGAACCGATCCGCGTCAGACGTTATTTCACGCCCGTACTTCGCCCCGTATTTTCGACGATTAATAATTCGGAAACGAAGTGCCTCGAATACAGTTTCATCATTCTTGATTTTCGTCTTAGTTTTGGCGTGTATAATCCACTCTCCGAATTATACGTTTTCAAAATAAAAAACCATATCAAAACATATTTTTAATGAATATTTATTGTAAAGTGTACTAACAAATATGCCTTAAAAATAGGTTTTGATATGGTTTTTTATTTTGCAAAGCTACGATTGCCAACCAAAATTCGCTTAATGCCGAAAGTGGCCGAATACACTTGTGCGATCAGCTGTATACGTTATTATTGAATATTTTCAGTGAAAATTGTTGTTCGTGCTGTGTACTGAATCCATCCGTTGGCCACATGTTTTTCAGGCTTATCCGAAGAGAGACATCACCAACATCGTTGAGTCGTCCCACTATGTGAGGGTCAGTGGATGGTGCAAACCAGGAAGAACCAAATGCAAATTGTCCCGATGGGTCAAGCCGTACAGATGTCTGGGTATGTACTAGAAAAAAAAATATAATTATGTTGGTTGCAGTACAAAACTGTTCACAAAAGAAAAAAAATAGCTCGCTGGTGGTTCAAATAGGCGATTGATTTTTGAGTCGTCGGACGAGATCTTTGGGTATCTATCCACTTTTATTATTTTTTTTCATATAAAAGGTGTCCCAGTATTGATGGTACGACCAGGGAGGGGCTGATTGTACATGAGAAAATAAGTCGAAAATATGGAGTACATTTTTTTCATTTGAGGCTTTGTTTTCGAAATAATCGAATTTGTGTGATACGTGTGCAATTGAATAGGACTTTGGCTAGCGTGTCTGTCCACTGCATTCGGTTTCTACTTAATACTTAAAAGTCTCAGATAAAAAAAATGTATTCCATATTTTCGATTTATTTTATTTCCGTGGCCTTGAATGACCTTGAATAATTATAGTCACTGAATTCCTAATGAAAGGGACTGTCATTTTAAAAAAGGGTGATTCCATTTAAAAAAATGAAGCTGACCTTGGTATTTCTAAAAAAAAATGACAAAAACGAAATTTTTTTGGTATCGTGTGAGTCCCATTGCACCATTCAACTGTCCTTAAGACATTTGACGTATCTTTAAAAACAACAAACATATTTAAGGTGCAAACGTTGGGTGACTCACCCTGCATACAGGGTGTTTCATTTATCTTGAATTCCTTAATGTCTTCGTTACTTTTACTTGATACAAAGTTGTGCCAATACAAAATTATTTGGTCAATATAATTTTTTTTTCTGAAGGCCATTTTTCCGACGTTTGGTCATGGATATTTTTTGTCCATTAACGTTTGATTTTTGTAATGCGATATTATAATGCACGTCGAGACTAATTCAATGGCCTACAACACCATAATCTTCAAATGACTTTGAACGATAAAAAATCATGTAAATTATGTATTTGATCGAGGAGTTAGCGCGACCTCTTTAAATTATTTCTAAGTAATTGAATAGCTGTTTAATTATCGGTAAAAGTGAATTCTTCCAGCGTATGATCGGACGTAGGCTTCGTGTGGATAATAAAACGAAATTGGATCATCGAGAAGTAGTGAAACCGGGAAGTGTAGTTTGAAAATTGCCGCGATGCGGCAGCACCGGTTAATTAGAGACAGATCGTTCCCCGTTGCTCTTACAGGTGGAAATAAATGAAGATCTTGTTCACGAACGGATAGTGAACGATTCATTAAACCCGTCGATGACGCTGTTAATAATGTAATCCGACGGTAGGATGGAATATTGTTTAGCATCGTTGAAGCACGCGCGTGCAAATGGCGCAAATAACACACTCTTAATTAGAATAGTGCAACACCAGACGATACAAGTTGATTTCGTTTAAAGTTCGGCACTATTTAACCTTTTAATGATGTTCGACGAGTATACTCGTTGTGTGAAAAAATAAAGTATCTTTTGCTATAAAAATTTGTTTTCACGCAGTTCAACCAGAGCAAAATCCGGTACTGTTTAACCCCTTAACGGTGTTTGACGAGTATATTCGTCATATGAAAAAATAAAGTACCTTTGCTGTAAAGACTGAATTAATGACACAGTTTAAGCAAAGCAAAATTCGGTCCTGTTTAACCCTCGAAGCGGTGTTTGACGAGTATATTCGTCATGAGGAAATGATCACTTTTTGGGTAACGAGTATACTCGTTGTCTGAAAAAATAAAATATCTTTTCGTATAAAGAATTGAAATTTCTAGTAAAAATTGAAAAATATAATTCTGTTTTCTTAGAATGAAGGAATAAAGTAGTTGTAAATTTGCGTACGATGTAGGAAAAAATGACCGTGTAAAAGGAAGCGTTAAAAAATGTATTTGTGCGGCAAAGTGTAGAAAACTTGTGATAAAACTAACGCAAACTACACACAAAATATTTTATTTAATAAACACAAAAAAAGAAATGTTAATGGGTTAAGGAACATAAAAAGAAAGGAATAAATTTTACACAGTTTACAAAACGTACATTTTCTTACCGACCACTGACCAGGTAAAAATGATTATTTAGGCAATGTTAGTTTCATTTTCTTACCGACCAAACGACGACATACATACTCCTACTCCAGTCGAGAGATAGAGAAAACTATACAAAGGACCCTCGTCCATCAACAGAAGACAATTCAGCAATAACCTTTCCGTGATGACAGTGTCATAAAAGTTTGTGAATTCAATTGAGTTTGGAATTAAAGTACTGTTTACTTTTTTTTTTAAGACCAACCGTGTAATTTCGTCTGTAACAATTTGATTACTCAACCAATTAATACACTTACTGTGTGTTTTAGAAGAATTTAGAAAAAACAAACACAACTGCACTGTACAGTATATCGAAGAAAAGATAGTTTGGCAATTTCCGTATAGCATGCGCGTGATTTTCATGACATTTTCTGCGAACCAATTACGTAGTGTACGTTTTTGCTACCGTGTTGGAGCAAGTAAAACGTGGTATAAACCGTGCAAAAGTAAATAAAACGTGATAAAAAAACCGAGTACAATTTGTACAAGAAAAGATATGCAAAAAGGGACCCAGGTGTATTTTAAAAATTATTGTTTAAATCACATACCATCTTACTTTGGATGAAAGTTACATATTTCAAAATAATTATACGTTATGTAAATCGGCGAATGATTTTTCATAGAATTATTTCATAATTTGCCTACCAAATGGAAACAATTTTTTCACTTTATTCTGTATTCAAGTAAATGTTTCTTGAAATAATATTTCTCGACTCATTTCTGTTTCTATTATGTCAACCGTGTCAGAAATACAGATTTTCTGGTGCACATACATAAGTATTCAAGGTCAAACACAGAAACATGCAATGTGAATTGATTCTTGCTACTTCTAGGGTAGTTTGTCTTTGATACCAGCAGTGTTAGTCACGCTTTGTCGGTCGGTAGTCAATGAAAGAAACTAAAGTACAAGCAGTAGTGGAGGGAATAATGTATGTAAGACACCAGTACATATTCGAAACCCCAAGTTATCTGTTATATTCGAATCAGTTAACTAAGATGAAAAGAAAACACTACTTAAAAATTATTTATTTGATATTGACATAACTAATAACGTTACTTTTCGTAAGTTATATTCCCGATAAAAATAATCAAATAGTTCATCTCCGTTTTAGAAGAAAATTTGCCCAGGCCTGGACCAGACTTGGGGCATTTTTTTAATGAAATTTCGATTCGAATAAAAGTTCGAGTAAATTCGTCCGAATGAAACTTTAATTCGTATAAATGTTCGAGTAAATTCTTTCGAATTGAAATTTAAATTCGAATAAACGTTCGAATAAATTCGAATATTTTGCAAATTCATTCGTTATTCTCGTGATCTCTTGTGTAATTATTCGTTATTCTCGAAAAAAAATACGTTTTCATATTGAATGTTTAGTCGAATTAAAATTTCATTCGAAAGAATTTACTCGAACGATTATTCGAATTAAAGTTTCATTCGACAAAGTTTACTTTAAATAATGAAAACTATAAGCGATCTCTCTTTTGGTGTTTTTTCATTCAGTTAGATTCATCATAATCGAGTAGATCTGGTAGTTTTTTTGGCAAAAACAGTATCGAATGTTGCATTGCATGTTGTAATTTCGAGTATTTTTGCACAATCTACCAGACCTAGTCAATTATAATGAATCCAACTGACTGAAAAAAATACCAAAAAAAAGATCGCTTATAGTTATCATTCTACAATAGTTCCGTTAAAATGTGTTTCATTACAAAAATTAATATTTTTATTACAAAATCATTTCTCGAATTTCTCGCCCTCTTTTTGATTATTTTCACCGACGTGAATACGACTGGGGGGGAGGGGGGTCGAGTCTTGCCAGTGGACAATGCGAGATCAGAATTGGATACAATTTTATTCGAACAATACATAGCGAAAAGCAGTACCATCTAGCAGCGTATTATCCTGGCCGTTAAGCACTTAACGAGATTAAACGATTGTATGCCAAGTGTCTACACATTCAAGTAGAAGTACTGTTTTATAATGAAAATTGGAATGTCCACGTTTAATCGATGAAAACTAACGAAGTACTTTTTTTTTTTATTTATTCGTTATTTGAAACTCTTTATCTAGGCAATGATTTGACCATTTCTGTACGAGACCATGGGTTCTCATTGTTTAAAAAGGTTCACCAATTTCTGTTTTTCAATCTCACAAAGTCGCCCCCCCCCCTCGTTCCCGTCTAAGAACGATCGTGACCGCCGCCTTGGAAACTCGCACTTTACGAGTTTACGTGCAATCCCAGCAGAGTGACTCTGATTTGCAGTTTCTGCCGTATTGATTCTTCAGCGGGGAAGGGGAGGTTGGTTGTCGAGTGGCCGTGTTGTACGTACAGCGGGCCAGAGAGAGAGTGAGAGAGCCCCGTACTAAGGGGTTGAGTAGACGCACACTCTACAGGGTGTCCCAGAATTGTTGTTCAACGAATGATACAGTAAATCAGCGATGAGTGTTCGAAGGCTCTCCTCGGCAATAAACATTAAATATTTCATAAACTAATGGACATATACGGTTGAAACAAATATCATTGGCTTCAGAATTCCAAGCTCTATCACAGTGCTAAACCTCATTAATAAGTCCGCGTTGCACCTGGTGACCTCTTCTTGTCAGTGCCGAGGAGTCTTCGAACACTCATCGATGATTTACTGTATTTCATTGCTGTTCCTTGAATCAGTAGAGGATTTACGATGCAGAGGGGGGGGGGTGTTAATTCTTTTATGTTAACCCTTTCATTCCTAAATTATTTAAAAATTACCAAAAAATATTCTATTACATTTTTGTGTATATTAGAATGACATATAAATGATTCACAAGAACATTTCGACATTTTGAAACCGTTTAATGTCATGTTTCATTCTTTACCATTTGACCAGTCTGTTACCTTTATCAGAGTTATGTATAATAATTCCCATTACAATGTTATTATACATAATAAAACTCGATTTTTATTACCTTTGATCAATAAGCCCTCTTGACGTGTTTGAACTTCTGATTACAAAACGGTAAAGGACTTTTTTGTTTGTATCTGCACGAGAAATATTCATGTTACGGATTATACCATCTTTTTGGGACACTCTGTATACTCACAGATATGAAAAAGTACATGATACTAATATTTTATTTCGTAATCTAGAATACGTAAGTCATGTGGCAATAGTGAAGAACGAAAGGGTTAAGAGACACAGGAAAAAACCTTAACGTTTTTCGGGACACCTTGTATAGGCAGGGGTGTCTATTCATACTTGGAAGCGACTCGTTTCTTTTCTTACCCGGGCGTATCTCTGCTTCCAGAGGGGCCGTTCCAAAGCGACGCGTTACTTGTCCCGGAAGGCTGCCTCTTCGACCACCTTCACAATCAGACGAAATGCTGGGAATCTCACAGGTAAGCGAATAAACTTCTGTACCGCGTGTCGTTAAGGTCTTCTCGAGTTACAGTGGGTAAAAATAGTATTCGTGCACCCTTTGAAACAAACCAACTTTTTTCAAATTGGACCAAGTGACTTTAGTTGTTTTTTTGATGAAGTTAAAAAGATTAGTTTATTAAATGATGTGTAAACAAAATTTGGAAAAAATTGCAATTGGTTGGAATCGCGAAGAAAATACTAAAGGTCCCTTTTTACAACTTTTTATTTTATCCCGAGCCTGTAATGAAAATTTATAAAATACATTTCTTAGATTTATATCAGTTGTATACGTGCGGAAAAATTCATCGAAATCGGTTAACGTTACTGTGAGATACAAACGGTGAAAAAGGTTAAAATCGGTCGAATGGTCTTAAAGCTTTCCTCTAATCATGTACTCGCCAAACATATTTTCGAACGAGCAGCTAACAGTAGAATAATCCAAGCTGATCACGTTTTGTGGTCCACCCTGTATAAGAAGGAATAATAATTGAATTATATGATATATAATAATATAAGTATATAAAACGTTTACTAAATCCTAACAAAATATTTTTCAACGAGAATAATGAAATACTAATAAAAAATAAAACGGGAACAGCACAAGAGGAAATATAACTTGGGTAAGCTACGATCCGGCAGACCTTACCATTAGAAGGTAGAGTGTTGAACGCAGAGTTAAAAGACTATCGATCGTTTTGTACACCCCCTTGAAATTCAGTTTCTTGTGAAGAGAAATCGAATCGACGATCGTCTTGTTCCAGGTGGAACGCAACTGCCGCGGACACGTGCCGGGAGAGGAACATGAATCTGAGGAGTTTCGCGATGTTGCTGCCCTGCGGGATATCGTTGTTCTCCGGTGTCGAATTCGTGTGCTGCCCGAAACACCTGAAAGGTACGTAACGTACGTATATTCTCATATCATCATTCATTCATCCATTTCATTCGTTCACTGGACGATATAGTAACGCACCGGGATCGTGGGTAAAACCCGTGATTCTGAGGATAAAAATTTCATAACTCGTTCGACACATCGATGAAATACGAAAAAAAGTGAAATAGTGATCCATTAACCGGTATTTACAGTGAAGTCGCATTAACTGCGCGCGGAATGACGTCTACAGCAACTTCTCACGTATCATCTCCACCACTTGTGGGGGGGGGGGGAGATACATCGTTAACAATATGTATTTGTAATATATATTTACATTGTATTTAAAAAGACGACCAACCGAGTCTCGGCTGGAAATTTAGGAAAGGTTGAAATCGTAAACGGTCTACGCTTACTGCGTGAATGCGGTCTCCAGTTTCGCGCATTTAAGGGAGTATTCTACTGTAACATGCGATTTCTTTTTAACTTTTTTCAGGATCTTTCTTTTAAGGAGTACTTTTTTTGTGGACTTATTATCGACTTATTAATGAACGATTGTTATGCTGAACCTTTCTTTTCTATTTTTATTACATATCTTAAACTATAAATCAAAATTTTGTTTGGTATTGGAAACACCCGTGTGGAAAAATTTAAAAATCGACGCGAATGAACGGTTGTTTGTTCTGTTTGAAATTCATTAGAAACATCGAACTTTTACCGAGCTGGCTATAAAACGATTCGATGAATAAACGATCGAGCTCCTGGAACGCGAATTAACACGGGGAATATTCTAATTATACGCGTCAAACATTTGAAAAGTCGATTAAAGTACCTTTTTATTTTTAAAAGGCTTTGAAACTGTGACCGAAAAAAGATCTCATTTGCAGTTATTCGATAACATTGAATATTAACATAGAAAAATGCTACAAATATCGAGGTGAATTATAATTAACTAGTATCCAAGAGATTTGGTTTTTAATAAAAACATATTCGAGCTGATTAAAACTTTGACTGCTACGTCACCCGAATATGGGTAACGCGTAGATTGCAAAGAAACTGGATTAAAATAAATATTACAGTATAATTTAATTAAAGACCATCAGCTTCTATTAACTCAACACATATGTTTGCAACGATTTATGGCTTAAAAAACGAAATAAAGTGTGTGTGACTACATGCGACTTTTTCCACTGTGGTAGTCAACCTATTGTCTTAAGGGGCCACTGTGATGTCTGAGAAAATAAACCTATACAAAATTTTTTTTTTCACGAACAATTTACAATTACCACATAAAACGTTTATTACCTAGTTTTAGTACAATGTCTCAAGAGATTTAAAAAAAAACAAAATTAATAGCAAAATATGCAGAAACTTTAATATACGATTAATCTTCTAGACCTCTCGTCCAAACCAAATGTAAAAATTTGTTTATAAACTATATAAGATTAGTTTCCGTTACACGTACAAATGTGTTTAAAGAATTATTTTTGTAAAAATAGCGCGCTTTAGAAAACAAAGTTTCAGAAATCCGCAAGAAATCGAGTTTTTCTAGTATATTTCAAAAAAATTCACGTTTGATCACAAAATCCGTAGGTGTAACTGAAAGTACTCTTGCTTTAAGATTCCTGTCAAAATTTCAAGGCTCACTCCAGTATCTCCGAAACTGTTGACGATATTAAAAAATGTTTCAGACAAAAGATAAATGTGTTTTTCTATGTGGACGCGTAGAGGTCATATGAAGGTCAACATTCTTTTTTTTAAATAGAATCACATATTTTTAAAGCACTATTTTCCCATAAATGACTTACTTTATATAGGGAATAATGAGTAGCATCAAGTAGTGCATTAAAAAGTATGGGATTCCATTAAATAAAAAATTAAATCAGAAAAATGTTAGATCGGAAAGTGTGCCTGATACCATTTAACTTTTGTCTGAAACATTTTTTAATACCGTCAATAGTTTCGGAGATATTCGAGTGGGTCGATTTAAATGGGACACCCTGTATACATACTACAGGTAGGAATTTTGCAACGTAGTTATAAATTAAGGCATAATAACTGTACACCAAGAGGTACCAGAATCAATAAAAATACCATTTTTCAACACTTTATGGCATGGCTCCGTCTTGCATTGGACCCCCCAAATGGTCGCTAGCACGTCTTCGCAGTAGCTTTCACGCCCTTTTCTTCGTCTCTTTGGCCGAAGTATCACCACGACGCACATAACATGGTCCCACCACTTTCTATCTTCCAGTTGAATCTCGTCGCGTGGATACATTCTATGTCCATAAACAAAGGGGTGCATCGATTACCGCGTGGGGTGGTCTGCCATGCCTATAACACATCCCTACCACTAATTTCACCGAGTAAATGCCTCGTTATTCGAGCCTTCGAGGGTCGATATTTTTGCATTCATTAAACCAATAAAATCCTACCAAGAAAATACATTATAAAGTGTATTGAACGAGTGTCTCGAAAAAAAAAAATAGCGAAGAAATACAGTAAATTCTCGATGAGTGTTTGAAGGCTCCTCGGTACTGACAACGAGAGGTCTCCAGGTGTAACGCTGACTTTTCAATGAGGTTTATCGCAGTGGCAGAGCTCGGAATTCTGAAGCCAATGATATTTGTTTCAATCGTATATGACCATTAGTTTATAAAATATTTAATGTTTAGTGCCGAGGAGTCTTCGAAGACTCATAGAAGATTCACTGTATTCAAACCACCATCAGCTCACGAACATACATAGTGTACCGTTCAGAATTATTCAAACGACATGAGACTTGTAGAATTTATGACAATATTTCGACTCAATTACATTTTATGGTCCTTATGTCGATGGTGTTATTATTTAAGGAACGGGGCCAATCGTTTTGTGTCAGCTACTACATAGTCATAAATGCGTAATAAAATATGAATATTAATGTGCCACTAATAGACCGACTTGTGACCACTGATGGACAGTTTTGTCTTTTCCGTTGAATTTGTACTCGCTAACCACGTCACTTTCAACAGTGAAACGGCGATTAACACTTTCGATTTTTATGTCGAGTGTACTCATCATGACAAGATGGCAGTTTACAAAAAAATTAGCATTTGTTATTTAACCCTTTCGCCTACAATATCGTGTGAGAGCCGTGGTACGTATATCGGGCCCAACATTAGAATTTCAAGATAATTGATCTTCTTGTTCACTGATGAATTGTTCGTAATTACTTACCTAACATCCTCAAAAAAATTAAACCAGTTGTACCTTACACATGTATTTACACATTAAAAGACGTATGTGATTTGCACAACTTTGAGCGCACGTCCGAAGCGTAAAATGGCTCGACGCGTAACCTACAAGGCGTTGATTGTGGCACGCCTCGTCGGAACTTAAATCGTAGACGAAAGGGTTAAAGTAACATTTCGGTAAAACAAAAGACATATTCGTAATTTTAACACATTTTATAATATTTTAGGACAAAAGTAGAAAACATACAAAGACAAAAAATCACTTGAAATAAAAAAAATATGAATAGTAAATATGTATGTACGAGGGTTATTTGATAAGACAGTGACTTTTTTTATCAATAGATGGCGCTCAAGTCGCAAAAGTAATTTCGTCATTTTATTAGAATTCATTTCAATAATGCAGCAAATGCATTTACTCTGTATTTACTCTGTTTCTGTCGAGTAGACTCGTCATAGCATAAAGATAATTAAGCACACAAGTGCATGCTTTCAAAACGAAATGAAACACTTAAAGGGTTAAATGAAATTGGCCTTGTAGGTAGAGTAGTTGCAAGAACTCCATATGTATGCATACAGTAAATAAACAAAAAAAAATTAAATCGGACAAAGGAACCACGAAAATTGAACAGAGGACGAGTGGAACAATGTTTTATGGACCGACGACTCTAAATTCAAGATTTCTCTCAATTATAATTTTGTATTTTCCTAAACCAATATCCCCTGGCGTTCGAACAGCTCTTGAACGGTACTTGTCTTTCATCCTCGGTTATTTCGTTTTTCATTCGTTTCTCTCATAACGGTGTTTGATATGTCGCGAAGAAAGGTGCGGAGAAGGTGAGTCAAATGGAAACATTATGGGAAGCGAAATCGCATTGCGCCCTGTACTTGTTTCATTTACCGAACCAGAGGAACGCTTACGGTACCGAGACGTACAAAATGTTGCTTATTGATGTACAGGTTAGAATGTACAATCATCCCCCCCCCCCCCGAGGTTTCTGCCAGTTTTCTGTAAGACCGTTACGAAGAGGGGCTGCGTTAAGAAACTCTGAGGGTATACATATTTCGATTCTTCGCCCCTGTCCCCGGCAACCAACTCAACTCCCTTTCAGTCCACCCCACCCCTCCGACTGTTCCGTCTTGCTTGCTCGCTCGCGCAATCAATAACCCGTCCGTCGACGTTCTCGACGACTGCGCGCAACGTAGCCCACACGGCTCCCTATGGCTTTGCTCGTTCCTGCCTGCCCCTGCCAGCGCATCTTTTCTTTCCGATAGATGGCCCGATGGCAAATACCTTATACCACGCGTAGCTAATAAACCCCCTCCCCCGACCCTAATACACTCGTGACTTAAGGGTGGAATGTGCCAGACAGGTTCGGAATACACTCGATGCCGTTTCCACGACCGAGCGCGTAGTTTCGAATCAATAGGAATCGTCGATGAATCCCCCGGGCTATGCTAGAACCCCCCCCCCCCCCCGCCTCCATCCTCCCGTGACTGATGTATCTCTTGTTTATTGGAACTGTTTCGCTAATACAGCGTGAACGGTGCCTTAGTAGTTCGGAGCGATGGGAACTGTTACTATCAAAGAACCTGCGTGGGTTTATTACACAAGGTACACTGACGTACAAACTCGGCTTTCTATAGGGGAAAAAGTGGCGTAGAAGAAAAGTCTCCCAGTACTTACTACCTTTATTTCAAGTACAGAAATAAATGTTAAACCGAATATTAATTGACAAGTTATCATTCGATTTAACATTTATTTCGGTAGTTGAAACAAATTTACCAAGTGGTAGGAGGCATTTCTCTTACGCCACTTTTTCCTCTAGTGGAAGCTGAGTTTGCTCGTGAGAGTACACTAACGTGAAAACTCGGTTTCTGTTAGGGGAACAAGTGAGGTAGGCGAAGGGCCTCCTACCACTTAGTTTTGGGAGTTACTGACATTTATGCCAAATTAACATTCGGTTTAACATTCATTTCAGTACTTGATATGAATTTATTAAGTGATAGGAGACTTTTCCCCTAGCGGAAGCCGAGTTTGTTCGCGAGAGTAGGTACGTTAAATGGTGGTTTTGCTCGACGCCACGAAAAACAGAGTTGTTGATAGTTATACATAGAGACTGGCTGTTGATTTGAAATTGTAGAAGAATATATGTACACCCCATTCCATAAGTCCTTCGGACCCTCACGCTGCTGGATATGGAATAAGAAAGAAAATCAAAGTGAAAACATTACGAAATAAACGAATTTTCTTGTTAACATTGCGTATTGCAGAGAAAATGTGAACTGTAGTCATCGTTGTGGAAAAATCTTAACACTAAGTTTACGGACATTTTTTATACTCCCATCTTTACGGACACGCGTCAACGAAACTGGGCGTTTTTTTTAAAAAAACAACTTATTTTTTTTAATACTCAATTTACGATAGCATAAAATTGTCGCGTATCCGTAGAAATAAATATACGACATAGAGAATTTCGGGATTAGAAGGCACTCGAAATGCGTCAAAATGACGCGTCCCGTAAACCTAGTGTTAAATAACCGTTTGATTAGCGTGGTAATTTGTGAATATGTTAATACTTTGACTGTACTTTCTCGAATGAAAATTCTTTACAAAGGTCGCGTTTTCAGGTTGAATTAAGGGTATATGGTACCTTTATATCCCCAACAGACCTTTCAAAAGGTCAAACTTTTCAAGGAGGGATACATTGTTTTCTTGTTTTTGAACATATATCATAATTCTTATATCGAGACGTGTATGGAATTATGCTCACAGTAGAATTAATCCCCTTTACTTCTTGCAAATTGAACGTTTAATGATCTCAGCCATAGCTAAGTGGTTCCCCGGGAACTATGATCGAACTAAAAGATGTCCAACCCTTTTGGCGCAATAAACTCCAAAAAATTAGATGTTGCAAACATGACCCTACAAACATTGCACCGAATACCAAAGCCAAACGTCACATGATGCAAAATGATATTTTATAAAGTGATTTCTTAAGACAAGAACGAATGTAGAAATTTCTTTCCTCTCCTCGATATCTTATTCAGAATAAAACAGAAAACTTGTATCTGATATAAGTTTCGTCCACTATTGATTTTCACAGGACTCTATAATGCATAAAATCCACAGTCAATTTATCATAAACGTCTGTTTTTTCCGCGACTCAGACAACTTCCTCGAACAGAAAATGCTTCTGGGACCAAAACGGACATAGAAAATGTCTTCCAGTGGTCTCACGATCGAGTAAAACCGACTGTTCATATCGACGAAAGAAATACACCCGGCATGACGCTATCGAAACACCACGAGTCGCGAACACGATTGTATTTCAAACGAAACCATTGAGATTCAGTACAGTTACCATATTGAAGGCGGAAAAAGCTTTCAGGATGACCCCAATACACACCGTGTCGAGGTTAACACATTTTCTCGAGGTAGTCAAGCGACCAGTGATTTACGAACGTCTTTGCGTACACGGAAGCCGCCACCTGGCGGCGGTCGTCGCCCTCACATTCGTGTCCCCCGATCGGTTCAG